GTTGCGCTGGGCTATATCATATCAAAGTTAAGCTCGCTCCATTGCGAAGATATTCCCGCGAGAGTGCGGAAAACAAAGTAATTTATTTCAAATGTGACATTTTACCAATATACTCACGGACCACTAGGGGGCACTCGCGGACCACGGACCACACTTTAAGAAGCATTGAATTCAGTGGTCGCCAACAGTCGATCGTGATCGACCGGTCGATCGCGAGTGTGGTGCGGGTAGATCGCGGAACGTTAAAAAAAAAAGTAACAAAAGAAAGAAAAATTAAATTAAAATAATAATGTTTGAAAAATACGTTTTTAGATGTAAACCTATCATCCACAACCCCGTTAGCAGGTGCCACTTGATTGACGTATATTTGAGACACCTCAATAATATAATACATTAACTGTGCTTTACGTGAACCTCATCATGACACAAGAGAGGACGGCAGGACTGCAATTTCCTGTGTTCGGTGAATGCAACAGAGGCACGTCACCAGACCAATCAGAGAGTTGCATGGAAATACACGTGTGCTTGTGTCATTCAAAAGATTATTTCCGCGGCACACCTTCATATCATTATAGTTATACAAACAATAAGAGAATAAATGAAAAACAGGTATGAAATACTATATGGCAGTAAAACAAGAATACAGTTTGAAAGGGGAGTGATTTGTAAAATATCCATAAAGAAAAAGTAAATCTGTTTACAGTTGTGTTTCATCTGGGTGCTGAGAGGTGTATCCATAGATCTCTTCATGTTGCTCTCAAAGTGCACCAGATTGATGCTTTTAACTTCAATATTTAAAAAATATCTTCCCAGGTGAGCATCCCCCCGGACCCCCCTAGAGGAGGTGAGGACCCCCCTAGAGGAGGTGAGGTCCGCCCCCCACTCATAAAAAATAGCACTTTACCCCTTCCTATATGCCGTGAGCTGATTATGGAGCCTTCATTGTAACAGTCATTCAGATGCAATTAGCCTATAAAAGGCCTCAAATTGGAAGCACTGTCTGGGCCGTCTTTTTCACTCAATTCTGCAATAGGTAGATCTCGCCTTTCACCTAGGCCGAGGATCTTGGGCTTAAAAAGGTTGGTGACCACTGAATTAGACAGTATGAAGATGTCCGGTAACCTGTTTCTCTCATGGTAGATTGTTGTGTTGACTTTAGATTGTGTTTTTGGTTTCCTGTTACTGTAAGTACTTGTAAGCAGCTGTGATTGACAGACGAACGATTTTTAAGTAAGGGGTAAAATAGGACTTTCTTCTCCCTGCTCCTTTTCATCATGGGCTACAAAAGAAACTGCTTAATGGTTTGTTTTATAATAATTTCCACGAGTGGAATAAAACTAAATAATACATGTTGTTGTCACACTCTACCTCCTTTAATTTAAATGTTGATTTAAAAACGAATTTGCACACTTTATAATGTGTATATATCCAACATTTATATTTTAGTAGCGGGCTAGTCTATTAAATGGTATTCTTATTTATTCTCTACATTTGACATTGTGTACTCTACATACAGTATATTTATATTGCTAATGTTTATATATTTAGTGTTTATGTGTTTTTTCTTCTGCAATGCATTGTTTACATTCTGCTATAACAAGAACATTTCCCAAATGTTGATCAATTAAGTATATCTAATCTAATGTTATGAACTGTGTTTGGTTAAGTTATTCTACTTGTATTGTTTGTGCGTGGCCGTGTAGTTTTCTAAATGTAATGTTTAAAACAAGTTGCATTACAGTGTATGAACAGTAGGCTACAGAGTGTCCATGTGTGTGGTCACTCAGTGTTACTGCATTCGATGCTTTCCACTAACTGTTCCTAACACATTAAGCAGTACACTGAGGACAGCGTCTACACATTGCGAAACTTCTTAAAAGAAATGTTTGACCAAATGCATGAACTTTGCTCTTAGCGCAATAAATATTTCTGCTGAATCATTCTACCGTATCGTGACATGACAACTCGTGGAACTTCCCTTCGTGAACACTCTTAGCTAGCTAGTTTACCATCTGTTATAGTATCTGTTTACAATACAGCTCGGTATAACATATACGTAGGTAATTGACACATTCGATATCCGAGGACTATTAAGAACGCTTTTATTGGCCCATAAATGTCAATCTGTCAAAAGAGCTGCCATTTGAGTTAAAACAAGCTAACACTGTTAGCAACATTTACGCTAGATAACTGCCGCTAACCACCACTAATAGCAAATGAAAGCTAGCTCTGCTAATTGAGAATATATGACTTACCGAGTCGGGGGCCAGGCAGCTGTTGGCCGAAATCCGAAGCTTGGTCTTCGGCCTTCCCCGTCCCATCGGCCTGGTCCTTCTCCAGTCCCGCCAGGAGTTTGAGCAGAGCCTCCTGCGGGACCTTGCAGCCTCATCCTTTCAGGTCCGAGAAGGCTGTGAGACGGAACCCGCGCTCCAGGCCGTGCTCCTCGGGTTTGAAAGGCTTGTATCCAGGGAAAAAACATGCCTCAGTTCCCAAAGCCTCTGCCGAGGGAGGCGGGGGAGTTGTGCCTGACATGCCTGCCTGAAAACCACTTCAAACACACAACGCCTGCCGCGTACACCGGCAGATAAAGACGCGAGGATGAATGGAGCGTGTGTCCAGCGAGAGCTGGTTGAAACCGTTGAAACAAGAGACAAGTGTAAAGCTCAATCATTCAAACAGGACTTCCGGTTTGTACTTCCGCCTTATACATTCTCTGTGCATGTCTGTCTATGCTAGATGTACGGATTCGCTCCACAGTATAGCGGCTAGCCTATACACACACATACTAAACGTCTTTGAGTTGTATTGTAGTAATATTGTAAAAGAAAAAAAGGTCATTCTAACCAATAGCGAATGGACAGTCGTTGGATAAAAGCAAATATTCTGAAGGCGGAAGTTATAGTTCCTGGTCACTGATCAGCTTGACCCAGCCAGAACAGGACACTTTTAAAACGTAACCATTTCAAATGCTATGGTCTAGTATCATAGGCGGCGCGTGAGGCTCAGGTTTGGGAAGGCTAAATAACTTCTTTTTTTATCTGACGCTGCCCGCCTCCGGCGTCTATAGAAAAGAGATTGATTGATTGATTGAAAAGTTTATTAACAGCTTGTATATTGGGTACAGTGCAGTACAGCTCAAAACATACAATTGTTAAGGGGATGCAGACCAGAGAAAGACTTTCGTCTTGTTTACATCAGGGTCCCCCATTTCCAATTCATCATATCATTTAAGACATATAAGACATATTTGACATACAGATGGCTTATTTACAATTTACATACAGGTGGTTTTTTACATACAGATTGCTTATTTACAATTTTCATTTTAGATTTCGTTCTAATACATCCTAACCGGACATTTAAGACATACCAAGTCTACAGATATACAGTTAGTAACAGAGTCTAAAATGCGGGCCTATACGGGAGTGGCTATATACAGGGCCGTCCTGTACACAACGCCAAATGGCTACAGGACCGTCCTGTACACAACGCCAAATGACTATATACAGGACGGTCCTGTATAACAGCTCTCTGAAATGGCTATATACAGGACCGTCCTGTATATAGCCATTTCAGAGAGCTGTGTACAGGACGGTCCTGTATATAGCCATTTGGCGTTGTGTACAGGACCGTCCTATATATAGCCTCGGCCAGTATATACATAGATGGGGGGGGAAGCTGTCCATTGAACGACAGGTTGAGATTTGTACCATTACCGGGGCCAGTTCTGCAATGCTCTCCCCCGAAGGTGCTCTTTAAGAGAGGGTTTGAAGGTAAGTATAGTTTTACTTTCCTTTACAGTTGTGGGAAGAGCGTTCCACCTTGATGTGGCATAATTGCGAAACGTGTATTCCCCCTTTTTTGTGCCAAATCTGGGTTTCACATGATTTGTGGAGCTCCCTCTGGTGTTATGATCATGGTATTCCTTGACCTTTGGGAAGAATTTTGACATGTACATGGGTACCATAGAGGTGTATGGATCTTGTAGACCAGGCCCATTGCAAGTAGCTGTACTCTGTCGTCTACTCTAAGCCATCCTAGGTTGTCAAAGTGGGCAGAGGTGCGGTCAACTCAGTGAAAGCACCGCCTGCTGACCGATCAGAGCTCAGTGTGCGGAGTTTAAATCTATCAAGTCATATTACAGGATAAAGGAAATACAGTTTAAACTGCCGTATGCAGAGAAGACGCCGACGTGTCGCACTTATCATTCATATTACACTAACATCACATCATCAATCAGATCATCGATCATATAATATCACAATATTTCCTTATCTGAGTCAGCTTCTCGAGCCGTATCTGGCCGTGCAACACTTACATTGTCACATATACTGTATGCAGACGTATTATTTTAAGCAACACATTAAGTTGACGAAACACTCAACTCAAATGTAATTTAAAGTCAGATCCACTCGTGTCTTAGATGGGGCAGTATCATAAAACTGTTTTCAAACACTCGGTAGTTTATTTTTTAACCAGTTGTTCTGTATTCTCCTTGCAGGTGCAACTATGTGGCTTGTATCCTGGATTATATGTTTAAGTCATGGATGTTTAAAGTTCATATTTGTCTAATATTAGTTTACTTTTCATTAATGAAGTATGACGCTGCGCTGTCAGTACAAATGTCCCTGTTTGTGATTGGTCAAATGTAGCTAACCCCGCCCCTTTCACGTGAACGCGTTCTCAGCTGGAGAGAGAAACCCTGGCTTGATTCACCGAGTTGATAACCAGCTTCGTGGACCACTTAGCGAAATCTCGTTTGTTAGGGTTAGTTAAGATAACTCAAACATATCCAGGGTCTGTTGAACTGGCTTCGTACAGGGCACAGGTGGCACAAATATTTGGGAAGGCTTAGCCTTCCCTAGCCTACAGCACCCGCCGCCCCTGTCTAGTATGCTAAACTATAGTAGTTTAAAAGAACATACAAAGAAAACGTATTTTTTGTGAAATTGTTTCTTACCACTCAGGGTACACACATGACAAAACACACAAATACAATCTAATGAATAACAAATTTATTTAAATCTTCAACAGTTTGAAACAATAATCTTTGAACCAAATGATCCATCATTACAGACAATATTCACACAAACTGTGAAGGACCCTTGATGTGCTTACCTGCGGAGAGATAAATAGCAAGGTGCTACAGGTATAGATAAGACAGAATAAAGGGCACAGACAGGGGTGGTGCGTTCAGGGTCGGGGTTAAAGCAGTGGTGCAGTCAGAGGTGCACAGAACACAGAGAATGGCTACTTTGTTCAATTAGAGTAAATCCATCTCTAATTTATAATAATAATACATGTTTGGAGGTAATGTATACAGCAACATCTTTGACCAAAACATATTTGAGTATCGTATATAATTCAAAGCTCACTAGGTTATTCACATTGTCATTCGATTTCTCATTTGAAGGCCCCATTTATCTATTGTACACGTGTATAACCTGGAGGATACAGTCAAACTATACGCACTTATTCCACAGTATGTATTTACCTCCTCGATTGCCACTATCCCACAAGAGCAAAGAGGGACAAGATATCAGGATTCATATACAAATACTGATGGACATGTTTGTCAGTGGGCCATCTCAGAGGCAAGGCATGAAGAGGGAAAAAGAAAAAGTGCCAGGAGTAAAGACAAAGACGCGAAAAGCACGAGTTGCAGAATTGAAAAGCTACAGCACGATTTGTAATCCATTGAGCACCTTCTAGGAAAATACCGTGCTCATTATTTGCTGTCATTCTCCGCTTTCACTTCATACCGTCATTTGATTGCCAATGGTCTTGTTTCCAACATATTCGATTGTTAAAATTGTAAGATGTACAGCAAGTATTTCGGTTTGTGTGTCTGTTTTGAAGTGTGTGTCAGAGAGCAAGGGGCCACAACCAAAGATGTTTATCAAGTTGTGCCCAATGCTAGGAGTAGACACTAGGAAACGTGCGAAAATTAAATGTACTTTCTATGTAAATCTGTAGGTGTGTGTGCTGTACGCTCATGTTACTGTATACAGTCCATGACATGTATCTGCAGCGTGTCCATATCTGGAGCCTGGTACTGGCACTTAGGACAACATAAATCAGGCAGCTCCTCAGCACCAGCGGCTCCTCCTTGATCACCGAGGGGGGCCAAACCCTGATGGCGGAACGAGGGGGCCGGGGGCACCGTGTTGAAAGCTGCAACAGGGAACGAAAGCATCTTAAAACAGCTTCTGACACATTTCCCTTTTGTTTTATAAAGTGACCACAAACATTCAGTACAGTAGCCCACTACTAAAAAGCCTTCTTCTTTCAAATCCATCAATTACATTGATAATGCTGCACAAAAGTTAGTCAACTAAACTCAGTACATTGACCTATATACGGTGCTTAGTCAAAATATTCTGTGTTTGCTTAGGGGCAGCAAAACTTACAAATGATACTCAAGTGTCCACTGCATTTGAAATCAAGCACCTGGGCTAATATTTTAACTTAAAAAATACTATGCTACAACCTTGATAATCATTTGTATAAAGTCACTTTTTCACTGACAAACTATATATGTATTGCATGTGCGGTCTATTGTGTATAGCTTTTGGATCATAAAGTACTATTTGAGTGGGGCTTGACAGCATAGAGATATTGGAGTAGGTATCATGAGATTGAGAACACATCTGCAGTACGTCCTGGGGCCTCATTTATAAAGGGATTTACGCTCAAAAAATGGCGTACGCCAGTTTCTACGCAATGTTTGCGATTTATAAAATACTAACTTGACGGGAAAACGTGCGGTCCTCCACGCAAACTCTAACCCATGCGTACGCACTAAGCACAAAAACGGGAGAAACGAGAAACTGCGACACCGTTGGCAGAAGGAAGAATGGAGAGAAATATGTGGAAATAATACCATCAATAAAATATTACCTCTCATTACCATATATGAAGAATTCACTTTCAAACATTGATTAAAGCTGATCTTAAAATGATGAAACAAACGCCTGTTTGAGACTCCTCAGTGCACACAAAAACATAACTTGGAGAAATAAATAAATACGGATATGTTATTTAAAACCACCTCGAATATGTTGTGTTAATGTTATGAAATGTTTTCTCATAAATGATGCGGTAAGCAGGAGGACAGCATTACGTCTAAACTGACGCTGTTTTGCATTTCTATAGGTTGTAGATACGAGCATGGTTTTATATACCATCATGTTTAATCATGTTTTATGCCGTTTGCCAAGACTTGATAAGTCGCTCGTAAAACACAGGAGGTATGGAAGCTAAGAACACCATATGTGGTCAATTGTACAGCTAATATAACACAACACATTAGTTGTATTTCCTTTAACTGGTGGATATAGAGTTGCTGGGGGGGGGGTTGAGACGCACAGGCTGCAGTGGAGACGCTGCGCACAGCTGATCGACAGCTGGAACACAAACCACCAAATACAAAAACATAATTCAGATCCAGTCGTCATGACTCCACTCCGGAGGGATTCCCCGATCACTTCTTACAGTCTCTCATCAAGGGGGGGGTCTCCTGTCCCCGGCACAAACACACTGCCTGAGGAAGGCTATGTGTATTGTTTTTGTCATGAACCTTTTTCGGACCACTTATTTATTTATTTTGGTGACGATCCGACCTCCATGCTGCTACTCTGGTTCAAACGGCATCCACCAAACAATATGATTTATCTCCACCTCCCCAAAAGAACCAAAATCTGACACGGTGTGAGATGTCTTTTTTAGCTGTTCTGTCGTCATTTCCTGCGATCTTCTTCATAAAGTCAGTCAAAATGAATGAATGGGCGTTTCTTTGACTATTTATAGGCAAATATGGGCGTTACGTGAAGCCCGCAAAAGCTGCACGCATTTCGAGTCGGTTGTGATTTATAAAAGGGAAACCGGCGTAGGACGTGCTGTACGCACTTTCCTCGCCGGTACGCAATGTTCGGTGAATCGGAAAATGTCGGAACATTTCTGTACCTATTTTTTGGATTTCTACTACGTAAGCAACCTTCCCACGTGAATCCTACGCACGGCGTTATAAATGAGGCCCCTGAGCTGTTGTTTTGCAGCAGTAACCAAAGAGCTTTTGTTCAAATACTTATTGACCATAAAATCTATAATATTAAAAATCTATAATAATATATTAATATAACGTGTGGGTGTAACTTTATATCTATGTGCCTGTTATTTTGAATGTGTGGCTTTGTGTGTACCTTGAGGGGGGGGAATGTGTGGCGTCCTTGTTGGAAAGTCTTCCAGGTGTCTCAGCTTCATCTGCTCGATGCGTGCTCTGAAACAGGGGACAAAGAAACTCTCCTGCTCAATCAAACTTTAGAAGACCTCTCTCCTGTGCTTTAAGTAAACTACGCATGTTGGTAAAGATGAAGAGAAAAGGTGAAGGAAATTGATTGCTAAACATTTGTTTCAAACACAGACAATTGACAATTTTAATATCTCTAGAACTGAATTGCTCTATCCCTAACAATGCCAATATCATTTGTATTATTTTATAACTATTAACCGTATAAATATATCAGAATGTTGTAGATAAATCCTTAAACAAAATCTATGCATCACATAACACTAACCTATCAAAGTTATTTGAGGCTACTTCACAAAGTTATCCAGAGTAAAATAAACGCCATCAATGTTTTATAGGAAAGCCTCCAGTACATATTCCTCAACAACTTCTCTATAGAATGAAAAATAGATCTCTACAAATCTCTGTATTGGCTGAAGTGCCAACAGCCCTGCCTGTGATGCTGCAGCAGCAAAGCTCAAGTCCCCTCCAGATGCTGATGCAGCATGTGATTAGAGGGCAAGGAGAGGAATTCAGCATGGAGGACTATGTAACCCTGGACCACAAATGACATAAACAGAGAAAAAAAATAGCCAGCTGGAGCTCACAGCAAGACAGAGCTTTTGACAGTGTGGCGGTGCATTAAGGACTGCATGCCCACATCCAGGAAACAAATCATTCCCATGGTGCTTTTTCCACTTTCAGACTTTCTTTTTACCGTGATGTGGCTTCCTGTTTGAGCCTGTCAATCTCAGTCAGGGCCTGAGTCAGCTGATCCTGCAGCTCCTCCTTCTTCTGGTTCAGCTTCTCTCTCGCTTCTCGCTCTGCTAGGAAATCTGCCTTGTAGATCTCAGCCTGAGCAAACACACAAACAAACAGTGTAAGTATTATAAACGTGTGTGTTTTCTTCTGGAATATTACAAAACCCAATGAAAGAATCTTCACTTAGGTGCATTCACACCTAATAGTCCGCTTCTCTGGTGCGCACCAGAGGACAGTTTGTTACATTGTTTCATTTTTCAGAAGGTTCGGTTTGCGTTCACAGGGCAAAACTCAAACGGACTATAAACTTTAAACACAAGTCATGTGCACGGAAATGCTGTTCAACCATTGGTCAGACATTAAGGGGGTAAAAACGCAAATTCCGGCAATTTTTACCGGAGCCTCCGCCATGGAGCATCGGCACTTTCGGCAGGTTATTCTCATGCTGTTAATCAGGAGATCAACAGACACTAGCGGCTATGGTGACCAGATGTCCCGCTTTGCGCGGGACTGCACAGCATTTTCACGACTTTTGGTGCGTCCCGCAAATTGAGAAGATGTCCCGCATATTTCATTTTGATTGGCTAAAACGCTTTTCTTTAAAATCAGATTCATCCAATGGCTGTTGAGAAAGCAGGGAAGGCTATCATCACGGGGCTGTGTTTGCTGTCAATCAAACTGTAACACACGGCGGGTGCTGGTCAAGTGTTAACCAATGAGAGTAACTCACTCACACACACCCCCCCGCGGCCCCGCCAAACAACAACAACGAACGCAGGTGACGCAGCAGGTTATGGAAAATGGAGGAAACTGAAACTACAGCTAAGAAGACACCGAGAATGCGATTCTCACAAAACGTGTCGCTCAAAAAGAGACATCCCACTCTGGAGACATTCCTACTCAAACCAAAAAATGATGGCCACTCAGACAAGGTAACAGCAGCAGAAATAACTAGTGTTTACCATACAGTGCAACAGTCCCAATCATACCGGTCAAATGACTGGTAACAAGCTAGCTCCGACCATTTTTCCAGACTCTGAGATAGTAAAGAAAATGTCATGTGGTCGTACAAAAGCAGCGTCCATAATAACAGATGTGCTTGCCCCTGCCTCTGTGGAGAGTTGTTTGACAGAGGTTCTAGGTGACAAAATAGCCCACACACTGTGGGGGGGAGGGGACGCCCACCTGCTGTTGCTGTGATGAAAAAAAAAAAACTGAAAGCTATTTTATTTTATGTATTATTATGTTTCTGTTCCCTCCTGGCCAGTTTTGATTTGTGATTTTTGTATCTATTAATTTATGTTGTGACTACTTGTACAGGTAATACACTAGTTGAATTAAGAAGATGCATTTCTAAACACTTGAAGTGAATAATGGCTGCTGCCTTGGTTAGCCTTAGTTTACTTTTCTTTATTAAGATACTAAATTGTTACTGCATTTTTACTTCACTTTCTGCTCTGTTATATATTTGTTAAGTTGTTTTTTTCCGGGGGGGGGAGGGGTTGGGTGCTGTTGAGGGTGTCCCACATTGTCCCACACAACCATACTCCTTGTCCCACATTTGGTTTGTTGGGATCTGGTCACCCTACTAGCGGCCCGCGCATATGATTATATAATCAGACGTCCGTTAAAAAACATGATGACATAATGAGAGACGTTTTGCAGTAAGGAGGGGCGTTTCACCGAAGACAGGTGTTCTTACTTTTATGTTGACGGAGCATTTTTACTTTACACGACACTGTTCAACACTTAATTCTGCTTCACTCTTTAAATTAACAACCGCGGATGTCTTGAAAGACTCATTCGCTAAAGATTTTGAAGACATCCGCGTTCTTGTGACACGTAAATACTACGCTTCCTATGTTTTGGTGCGGACTGCGTTCACACCAGCAATGAACCGCTCCAGAGTTCGCAAGCAAGCGTTCCGAGACCACCTATTTTAGCGGACCAGAGTCCGGTTGTTTAGTTCACTTCAGAGGTCTCGGCAGTGTTGGGAAAGTTCACTTTCTACATGAACTAGTTCAGTTCACAGTTCACACATTTTTAAAATGAACTAGTTCAGTTCATAATTCAAAATGTTGAACTAAAGTTCATGGTTTCAAAAATGAACTAATTTATAGTTTATAGTTATTTTTTCAATACGTTGCTGCGAGCTATTATTTGTCAAAAATGATTGCCACAACCCATATAGAACCACAGACAGAATACTGGCATTTCCATAACGCTTTGCTGCCGCCCATTCAGTCCACACTAGTAGCAGCTGCAGCTTTCATCTCTACAGTATATTTTCAAAAACATGAGGAAAAACGTGCTGCTTGAATGGTCTTTATTAAGTATAATAATCTAAATATACTTAAAGTACCAAAAGTGAAAGTAGTCATTGTGCAAACATATAACATATAAACATGTGCCGACATAACTCTGTACTAACACAACACGAGGTAGGAACCAGGCTGAGGTATGAAACTAAGGTTACAGGCAAACGTTAGATTTTTTCCGTCTGAGTCAGTACTGACTTTAACGTAAAAGTCTTTTAAATGCTCATACGCCGACGCCGTAGAGTCTGACTGAGCGAGTGCTGCTGCAGCTGCTCTCGGCTTCGTCGATACTAATTCATTCATTCATTCAATGCTCGCCGGTTCAGCGGTTCCACATTGTTTGTTGTGAGGAGTCTGATGACGTATATTTTAGTGCGACAGCCAGGGGTGACAGGCGCGTACGCGTCACAGGCAGTTTGCTGTTGCCAGATTGGGTGGTTTTCCGCATTATTTTGAAGCCTGTTTACGGTGTGTTTTAACTGGGTTTTCGGCTGAAAGGCATATGAAATCTGGCACCCTTTTGAACGCCGTTATAATACAGTGCTGAGAATGAACGCACTTTTGAACGCCGTTATACAGCGCTGAGAATGAACGTGTTCTCAATTACGTTCATCTAGCGCAGGGGTGCCCAACCAGTCGATCGTGATCGACCGGTCGATCGCGGGGAGATTCCCAGTCGATCGCGAGATGTGTCTAAAAATAGAACAACAATATTCTGTTTTATCGTTAATGTCCTATGACATAATCTTCCTGTGCCAGAATAATGCACTTGAACGCATCAAAGCTTTGTGATTGGCCGGCTAGACCCCATGTGTCGGGGCGTGGCTGGTCGGCAGTGGGCACTATTTCGCTGAGGTTGTCCGTGTCAACAGGAGTGACAGTCCGCACACACACAAGACCGCAATTATGGCAGAAGCAAAAAAGCCCAAAATATATAATTTTCACTCCGAGTGGGAGGATGATTATTTGTGTATCTATTCCAATTCAAAGTCCATCTGTCTCATCTGCAATGCGAGCGTGGCTTTATTGAAGAAGGGTAATTTAGGAGCGGCATTTCAAAACAGTGCACAAACGCTACGAGACGGAATTCCCTCCTAATTCTGCCCTACGCTCCAAAAGGGGAGGGGCCTGAAAGGACAGCTAAATGCACAGCAGTCCATTTTCACCAGGCCCAACAACAAGAGCAAGGCTGCTACCAGAGCATCTTATCGTGCCGACGCGCTTTTGGGGGACAGTACAAATAACAGTAGCATTTCAACAGGTTTTTGATATAATAAAAACTCAAGTTAGATACCGTTATTAATCAGCTGTAAGTTTTAGTTTGTTTGAACTTATTCATTATAATTATTGTACAAAATGGTATAAGAATGCAAACTTAAATTGATTATAGTCTATTATCAATTCAGGTTAAGAAACTAGTGTTGCTTGCATCCTATTTTAAAGGCATTTATTTTTATACTCTACTAAAATGCAACAAAAAAAGGGTTTGATTCTATTAATTTTGTCTTTTTTATTGCACTTTGGCAGCAGATTCCTGTGTAGCTTCAGATCTGAGTTGTCTTATTACTATAGTAAGCCTAATTTTAATGGCAAAGAAAGGGTTCAGAGTCTTTTCTTTTTCCTGTGTCATATGTGGCAGCACTGTTCAATGTTTCTTGAAAACATTACCCACTGTAGTGACGTGTGAATAAACTCCAACTCTGTATCAACAACACTGTTGTGTAACTTCAGTTAAATACTTGTATGTGTGTAGATTAGAAAGAGGTAAGATAAAGGATCTGCAGTATTTTATGAAGTATTAATCGTACAAAAGTCAGTTTTATACAAGTAGAAGTGTGTATTTACCTGTTAGTTTACCTGGTCAGTAATGGCTACGTCTCTCTATTTGGACTGGTAGATCTCGGCAGACTGGCAACTTTAAAAGTAGCTCTCGGTTCAAAAAAGGTTGGGCACCCCTGATCTAGCGGAAATACAGTACATTCAGTTCACGTTCGCCCAAAATATGAGTCCGAGACCCAGTGATGTACCGGAACGCGTTCAATGAACGCTCGTTCATGAACGCGTTCCGGTACATCACTGGGTCTCGGACTGCGTTCACACCGACCCAAATGAACCGCACCAAGCGGCTAAACGCACCAGGGTTCGATTCAACCGGACTACAAGCGGATCTAGAAAAATGTTCATGGGGTGGAAAGAGGGTTGCAGGAGAATTTGAGGGGTGGCATCCCCTGGCAGAAGTATATGCTGATTTAATCGCAGTCATATCAATCAATGTTAACTTGGAAAGCCACAATATTAATATTTTAACTCAATAACATAGGTGACATTATTGTGGCACACATCATTTAATGAATTTTAACTGAACAATACCAGGGGTACCAAATCTATGCAGACTGCTGCAATAAGTAGGCTACATTAATTAACTGTCTCATCGATGTTTGTCTGTATGAATATGATAATATTAACAATCATATTATTCCTATCAGAATCACTGTTATGATTCACATATTCAGTGTTATTATTAAATAAACTATATTTGTTGGAGGAGATAATGATGAATGTTCCTCAAGATGCTTGCTCACCCTCCTTGAAATTTGAAAGACAAGTAATTACTATCATATCAAAAGAATCAAAAGAACAGTTCAGCGCCCCACAATTTCATTGCAAACAGTTACAACCTTGACTTTACATCAGAAAGAACAAACATTAAAGAAGTGACTAACTGCATCAGTTAGGGTTAAAAAACGTGTATTCAGCTAAAACATAAACATCGCTGCAGTTATTATCCAGTGGAAGGTCCTTACCTAGTGGCCTAGTTAAATCAAAGTGTTTCTTTCTTTTGGCTGGGCCGTGAAGTTTTACACACCGTCTGATTTGACTTTCTCAGGACTTAAAACAGTTTTTTGGGGGCAGAACCCCACAAAGAAGAAAAATATTATACACACGTAAGGTCATCATCTTAACAGTTTATTATTCTCATCGACTCATCCGTGAGCAGAGCATCAAGTTGGCATGCCTATAACAGCTGAATGTGGTGATTACCATCTTGTTCAGCAAAACGCCTCACAAACTTATTAAGATCTAAAGCTATGGTGCGTTTTGATTCAATGCTGAGTACAGCCAAACTTGACAGGCTCTTCTCTGTCATTGTAGACCGCAAACAGTGGCGGCTCCAGAGTATTTTTGTTGGGTAATCTCTGGTAGGGCTAACCCATACAGTGGTGGGGCTCAAGTCAGTATTTGCAATGTAATTACATACACGCTCCCCTTGACAGTGAAACGCCACCCGTGAGGTTTAGATTATTTCCCTGTCTCAATCCAAATTGAACTGTATGAAATAAAAAGGCACATTTGTCTTGTAGTAAATAAAAAGGGCGACCTGGAGCCAATCCTGCAATTTCCCCACAAGTGAAAGAGTTGACATGCTGAAAACCCAACCACTGCAGGGGGGTCTGGGGGGATTCTCCCCCAGGAGATTTTTTGAAATACTAACATAAAATACACATTCTGGTACTCTCTTGAGAAGAAAAATAAATAAATATATTACTACACGACATATTTAAAAAAATTAATGGTATTTTAGTTTTTTGTTACTTTGTTCTGAAAGCTGAACCTGCTGCTCCTCACAGAGAGAAGAGGGAAGAGGCTGTGAATGACTTTACATTGTGGATAAGGGTGGATAGCCCCCATTGTTCTGTGTGTCAAAATGAAAGACAGCCCACACACCTATCAATCATCAAACCGTGGGGTCTTATTTCATTACGTGTTGATAGAAATCAACACGTAATGTTGTATCGATGTATCGGGACTTCCTGCAACAACACCACGCCGTTATCGTGATTCTGATTGGCTAGAAGACATTATCAAAGATGTTCTATTGAGAAGACGATCACTACGTGACAAAAGTTTTCAAAACCCTTTCTAGTCTTCGGTATTTCCAGACAAGTGGCTACTGAAATCAATCTTACTAACTGCTGTCTGTGCAATTTACTCGGCGCGAGTTGGCAGACTTTATTTAGCTTACCTTAACATCATTTTTCATGGTGGGGCTAAGGTGGGGCTAAGCCATTTCTTGGTATGGCTGTAGCCTACCCCAGCCATACCCTGGCGCCGCCACTGACCGCAAATACCTCATTCCTTCCGTCTACTTCAGGGATGGGCAACTTTGATGGTGGTGGGGGCCACATAATTGATGTACTGGCCACCAGGGGGCCGCAGATTCACTTGGAACACACGCACACAAAATTCCATGTGTTGTATTTAATTATTAACAAATATACTAAGTCTGACATCTTCATTGACATTTTACAATCAAAGGGAACATCACCAAAAAATGGGAACATCCTCTAATAAGCTCACTAAACAAATATCAGTTCACAGAAATGTTATTTCATTTTTACAAGTGGCATGTTTGTATTGAACAGGTTATTAAACAGTGGAATAAAACTATGTTAAACTATTGGAAAGCACGGAGAATGTGTGTGTATTGAGATGAACCATTAAGATGACATAAACATGAAGTCATGAACACTAACCCAGACAGCTCCCCCCCCTCCCGCTGAAATTATGAATGCAAAGCGTAGTAATCATAGATAACACGGCAGGGTCCGTGACAGTTTGTTTTCATCTGATTTCAAATAAACAGAGTCTTGGTTTTAGAATATTAAACTTGTTTCGCCAAATTCAGATGATAAATACAACTTTTAAGCTTGTAAAGGCATAATTACAAGAGGCAATTTAACGTAACAGCAGGCATAACAACAGCCGGTGTTTCTTGTGAGTGTTTCCCCCGGAAACAAACACAATACACACAAATGCGTCACAGATTATTTTGCGGTATTTGAAATCATGTACAAGTAAAACAATTTAAAATATATATATTTTTTGTATTAATTAAGTTGTTTAGAAATGTATCTGAGGGCCGCAAAAAGAGGAGGTGGGGGCCGTATGCGGCCCCCGGGCCGCCATTTGCCCATCCCTGGTCTACTTGGATCCGAAATGCTTCTCGTTTTGCGCTGTCCCCCGTTCAAATGAAATCGCCGCCAATCATATTTCCACGCTCGTTCCAGGGCCGGGGGAGGGGTTACAAGGCTCGCGTCTTGTGCTGCATTCACTTGCACTCGGACATTAGAGATTTTCTCTCATAAATGTCCGATGAGCCACAACTTTTTTTTTCAAAACAAAGCTGCCAACTGGGGTGGCAGCTGGGGTGGCAAGGCATTTTTCTGAGGTGGCAGCTGCCACCCCGTGCCACCTTGTAGAACCGCCACTGACTACAAGGCAGGTGTGAACGCACCCTTAGATTCAACCGGACTATACAAGGCAGGTGTGAACGCACCCGATCCCAACTTCGGGTCGGCCTATAAAAATACGTCATCACTGCACCACTCTATGTACCTGTACCCTGTCCTCACTGTGCAGCTCCTTCAGCGACAGGCTGCTGCACCCCCGCTGTCTCACGGAGAGATACCGCAGGTCCTTCCTTCCTGCAGCGGTCAGACTATACAACCAGCACAGCCCCTAGTTGACCCCCCTCCCACACACACCACAACACAGACTATATCACCCCTTGCTGCTAAATACCAACAAACTATGTGCAATATGTGCTATATATAAATGCTGTTAATAACTGTGTAATATATACCTGGCTGCTAAATCCTTAGAACTGTTACAGGATGTGTATTTTTTGTAATTATGTAACCTTTTTTTATTATATATTTTTATTATATCATAACTTAGTACTTTTTTTAATGCATGTCACATATTTAACATTAAGCTATCTGTGGCTCTTTTTCCTGCTGTAACTACGCAAATGTCCCCTCCGTGGGACTAATAAAGGTATTCTGATTCTGATAACAGGTGAAAGGTGGGTGTGGACCATACACTATTTATGCATATCTCAAGTGACTCATCGGAAGCTAAATAAACCTCCATGACATGAAATCTTTAATCCAAATCCAGATGCTGGACAAGCAGGAACCGATACATTTACGCCTGCTTTGGGGGAGTGTTTCTGGGGCTAAACTTAACCATTGCTAGGCAGATCACTGGTTTTAAAAATGGTGTTATTATTGTCAGTGTTTACTACAGTCATTCTAGCTACAATTGTAGCACAGTTATTGTTATGCTCTTAACATGTTCGAAGCGGGTTATCCTGATTTTTTTATTTTCTGAAGCCCAAAAAGATAGAATGTTGATGAATTATTAAACAATAAGCTCTGGTTGACTTTCCAGAAAAATTAAATAAAATCCAGATATCACTATCGTGATCAGGCAAAGAAAAGGTGACCAAAAAAAGCACTAAATAAAGTGCCAAAAATACTTGAAAAATGTGCCAAATAAATGTTATCTACTAAATAGAACAATGCCCTAATAATGTGATTCACTATAGAATAATGCACTTAAATGTGATCAGAAAACTGTAGGCCTCCCGCAATCTAACCCAAAACCCCCCAAGTGTCTCGTCCTTTTAAAGCCTGCCCCCCCCAGGTGGACACTGATGTCATTCATTCACAAAGAAGGTGCCCGATATCAAAACATAATAATATAAATATTAGATTACATAAATATCTTATCTCTTCTAAAAATTATATTTCATTAATAATGCTGTAACTCAAGAAAAAATAGGGTGTCAATAATTGACTACAGTCATTCTGCTGTCCTCAGCTTCGGTCCAAGAAAACAATATATCTGTTAGATATTTCCATCTTAAATCAGAAAGCTGTTAATGGCTCCTATAATGTTAAGTATTGCATGGAAGTGAGATGTTCCGTATGCTGTACCTGTGCAGTGAGGACGGGCACGGTCTCCAGAGAGCCTTTCTGCTGCTCCACCTCCTCCTTCAGTTTATCTATGAGGTCCTGCTTCAGGGCCAGCGCCCGCTCCGCCTCCTCCAACCGGCTGCACAGATCTCCTCCCTGTGACACACACACACACCACACACACACACACACACACACACACACACACACACACACACCACACACACACACACACACACACACACACACACACACACACACACACACACACACACACACACACACACACACACACACACACACACACACACACACACACTCACACACACACACACACACTCTCACACACACACACACACACACACACACACACACACACACACACACACACACACACACACACACACACACACACACACACACACACGAATGAATGTTAACACAACAATACATGAGCTTCATAGCAAGCATTAAAAGGTGAAGAGCTGTTTAAATGTGTTTTACCTCACTCTTCAGTTTGGTATCATAGTCTCTAAAAAGACACGTGTAGGCATGCTGCAATTGTGTCAGTTTTTTCCTAAGAGGAAAAAAAGGAAACGTAACTTTTACACACAGTATTGCATTACATGTCGGCAATGCAACCGGCTGGTAACAGTGTAGAACAACTTTGAAAGAAACCCAGAAGTGTTCATTTCAAATTTGAAGGAGACCTCACAATGATAGAATGATAATTGAACATTACAACTGTATTGTGTTGGTCCGGAAAATATGTATTTTCAATATTTGTGAGCAGAAGATAAAACAGTTTTTCTAATTAATGGAAAATAAATATTGGGGCCACATGATTTGGAAAAAATAAACAATTCAAATTATTTACACTATTTTGTAAATGCAATATGATGGCCGATTTTAGAGGGAATGAAAAACCATTTACATTATTAATAAAATATACAATTAAATGATCATGGAGTGATTTTTTTTAATAGGATCTGTATTAAACAAGGATTTGTTATGAAGTCTGTAGAACACCATTTGTAGGTCAGGACTGCTCTGCACTACTTCACTCATTGTGTTAGTCTATATTGCAATTGTGATGACTTGTGCAGTCCTTGTAAATATTTCCCTCTTTGGGATAAATCTGTCTAAACATCATCACAATGCGGAAAATATGTGTGTGTGTGTGTGTGTGTGTGTGTGTGTGTGTGTGTGTGTGTGTAACCCACTTCTCCTCTGTGACCACATGTCTTTCTGTCTTCAGGGCGGTCTCCAGGCTCTGGGTCTGCAGCAGCAGCTTGTCCATGGCTACGTGATGCTGCTTCCTCTGCTGCTCCTGCTCCCGCTCGGCCACCTGCAGCGCCTTCATCTTACTGCACAGCCTGCACTCAGAGAGAGAACACATCACAACACATGCACTTCATGGATGTGTGAGACAACTGGATACAGTGTTGTGTTGTGGCAATTAAGCCAACATTCCCTGACCCTTGAAAACACAAATACTAATAATACTCTTCCCTGCATCCTCCAGCGTTCTTCCCATTGGACCCATAACATCCACAACATCGTTTTCCTTAAGCCCCGCCTACAATCTGCTAAACCACATCTGGTCTTTTGACTCAGTCAAATAATTGGCATTTTACAACACATACAGTAACCAAGGAATTCCACAGGAAGTTGTTAACGTGGAAGTTAGCAGTTTGGAACATGTTGGAACACTTTATCTGTTCATGATGCTCAAGACCAATCACCTCAGCTTAATCACTCCTAACATCATGAGCATTTCCTAACTGCTAAAAACGAATGGAAAATATATTTCAAATAGGCCGGCCGTCTGTGGTGGGATGAGGCTTATCCAACCTTGCCAAACAAAGTCAGGAAGTTTTGTTTGTGACTTGATTTCAAAGAAATAAGAGATTCTCTAAATGTTATGACTTTAGTATCAAATCATTTTTCTACTAAGCAATTTTTGCTGTAAAATATCAATATACAGTTGTTTTATGTTTTACTATAACCTCCATCCACATCATTTGTTTTAAACCTACAATTGTTATATGTCGTTATAGAACACAGCGTCTCTGCTTTGTATTAATGCTATCACATACTTTTCATCCAGCATTTTGCGTTCATGCTCGCTCTTCTCCAGGCAGCTCTGTCTCTCGTTCAGTTCTCCTAACAGGGATGTGGCTTGAGATTTCAGAGCCTCGCAGTCCTTGGCCAGCTGTGAAAACAATGTATTTAAGTTTAGAGTCTTTAAATGCTGCCACCATCTGTAACTTTAGTAGCAGGAGAACTGTTCACAGTCCGGACCTGAGCGCAATCCTTGTCCTTCTGTTTGAGCAGAGCTTCAGTTCGGTCCCGCTGAGCTGAACTCTTCTGCAGGTAATCCAGCTTCTCCTCCAAATCACGGTACCTGCAGACACAACGCTCTCATCACTAAAACAGTAGAACAGATTGTCATGTCAGTGTTTCCCACAGAATTTGATTCTATTTGTGGGGGCACCGCACAAAAAAAGAAAAGCCAAAGGCCCCTTAACCTATTTGGGTGACCCACGCATCCACCCCCCCTCAAATAAGATAATACATGCGAGTTAATGGCTACTGTAGACAACGTTCTTGTTGCTCTCTGTTGCGTTGTTAATGAGTGAAACACACCGGAGTTGAGGATCTGTGGGGTTTATTCTCCTAAAAATATTTAGGCATTTAGCAGACGCCTTATTCCAGAGCGACTTACAATGACCGATTACAGGGACATTCTCCCTGGAGTAACCGAGGGCTAAGTGCCTTACTCAAGGGCAAGTGGTGTTCCAGGCAGGATTTGAACTCGCAACCTTCCGATCATCAGCCCACCTCACTATCCATTAGACCACCACCAAAAAAATAATAATAATACACATACTGTATGTATAATTACAGTTGGGCTAACGATTGATCTTATATTAAAGTTGCAATTATTAAAGAGTTTTCACAATACTCACAAATGTATTTAATTATAATTTACACAATAACAATGACTTAAGAAGATGCAGCAAGTTGGTTATTGACAACTGTCCCTGGCTAATTATTCAAATACTTATGAATGAATCACTAATCAATGGTAATTCTGTGCAGTGGTGGAAGAAGTGTTAGGATCATTTCATAAAGTCAAAGTAGCAATACTACACTGTGAAAATAGTCAAAAGTCCAATTGTTTTTTTCAGTATGGAGGTATTAGCAACACAAATGTTACAAATAAAAGTGCCTGTCCTGCAAAACATGCACTTTTTATATTGTTGCATTAACATAGGTGTATTTTAATGTTGTAGTTTGTTGAGGAGCTAATTGTAACTCCTTTTTATTCTGTTGGGTCATTTTACCTTACACAATGCAAACAATTATACATTATGTATTCAAAATGTTGTAAAAACCATCTGTAGTAGAGTAGAAGTTTAAAGGATAAATATTCATAACTGTATTTAATTGCAGTAAATACATGTATTCAAGTTACACTCCACCACTGACTGCATAGCCTTACAAGGAACCACACATTCATATCAAATAACTGATGCTATGATTTTACAGAAAACCTCCTGTATCTTTTTATATTTAAATAACTAACTAGGGGGCTGTGCAGGGGGGGCCGCCTCACATCAGTTTCAGCCATGTAGCCAGCAGGCAGCTCTGCAGTTGTGAAAATCAAATGACAGTTGAATTTGGTATGATAATGTCAAGTATAAATATCTGAATGTGCACTAAAGTCATGCCTTGTTCAATACAATGAGGACAGAAAAGGAATTTGAAATCTTAATTTTTCAGTCATTTCAAATAAATATATCACTACAATTATTTTTAGTAAAACATACTTTAAATAATTTTATGTCCAATTGGTTTTGCCAGATGATGGGAAGGGAAGCTAACAAATGCTACTGTTAACCCTGTATGAGAAGAGGAAGTGCAGATATGAAGACAATGCCAATCCGTCCATCAATGATGGAATGATAAATTGTTGAAATGTATAACAGCGGTTCCCAACTCTTTTTGTCTCGTGTCCCCCTTGAGCTGGTCGCCATTCTATAACTACCCTGTCACTTATCTGTGATTATTCACCTACATTTGGACTTGTATTAAACCCTTTGGAATCATATTCAACCCGACTTTTGACAGACTCTACCGGCGTGTTTGGTTCTCCGCAGATAGGCTGGCTTCATAGAATTATTTGCCAGGACTTTTGGCCGTGGTGGATCTAAAATGTATTTCCCTATATATATTTTCTTTTCACAGGGCTCTCTTAAACACGGTTCTGCAGCGACGCGACCGGTATCTGTACGTTTATCGTTGCCTAACCATGCATCTATTCTTACAGTCAATTTGCAGCTAATTTTAGCTCGTTGCTATGCGCAGCGCTTCAGCGTGAACATGAACTTCAGTTAGGGTTACAAGGTGTCCCACTTTGCGCGGGACTGCTCGGCATTGTTATCATTTGTCCGGCTTCCCACAAATTGAGATGTCCCACATTTAACAGACAGTCAAAACTTGGCTTTTATCCAATGGCTATTCAGAAAGCAAAAGATGGCTATTACCATTGGCTGTGTCAGATGTCAGTTAATAAAGAAAGTCTAGAAATGTATTTACTTATGGGTGTAGCCAGTGGAGGGCGATTCCCAGAGTTTTTGTAAGACTTGGGAGTTTTTTTCTCCAGCTCCAGACTATATCATGTGGACATCAACTTATATTGAAGCGTTAAGTAATATTAGAAATCTTAATTTTTTTAGGGTGGAATTGACATTATCGAAATCCAAACGACCTCTTAGCATCGCAGTAACATGTTCCACGATGACCCGCACAAACACACTCTTTGTTCCACATGCGGCTTGTTGGCACCTATGGTTGGCACCAAGCCGCCAGGAAGTGCGCCGGACTCTGAGGAACAAATTACCCAGTATGAACTATTTTATAGCCCTTATTATACTCATTTGGTCCTTAAAGTTGTAAAATGCACTAAAAGCTGAATCTAGATTTGTTTTCTCTCCATTCATTCTATTGAGCCGAGAGTGGGAGCTCTGGGGGCGGGGCTTAAGGGGCGCATGCTCTGTGAGCGCACATACGGGTTCTTCTGCTCTGACAGCTAGGCATCATGGGAAATCCGTGACGTTTCACTCTCTCTAAAGTTGGGCCATTTTGTCCTCATGCGCCAATGAGCAGCTCTCATAGGAAAGAACGAGACCCCGCCTCCGACGCTGTATCCAGTTCTTATTATACATCCATGGTAGGCACCTGGTCACCCTGACTGAAGTGGTGTTACAATCAACACTAACCCGGCAGGAACCGTTACTCGTGGATGCTGAACTAGACCACGATCAACAGGCTACATTTTCTTTTGGTGTGGAAATAATCCCTAATCTTTCTACGGACATCCTGCAATCCCCTCAAGAACCCCTGTAACCCCGGCTGGGAACCACTGGTATATAATAGAACACGACAGAAAAGTAAACGAGCGTTCATGACAAAGTGAGCACAGACACACAGGGCATGCAGGGGCAGCATGCACACAGTGAAAGAAGCCACACAGAGCTGTGGGCTCACCTGCCCTGTGTGGCCTGAAGCTGCTCTGTGAGTTTAGCCAGGCTAGAGCTGGAGAAGGGAACAGAGAGAGGAAGGAGGAGGAAGACATCAGCCTTGTATTAAGCAGAAGAAATGCAGAAACAAAAAAGGCATGCTGTTTCCTGCACATACACAGTACAGTTAGACTAATTCAACAGCACCCAGCCCAAACGCGGCTCATGACGACTCGGTTAACACAGAAATTCACTTTAGTGTCGTTAGTTTCACACAATGCAATTCAGTATTTTGTACCAGGAAGAGAAATGTCTCTTACCAGTCCGAGGAGTGCTGTGCCTCAGAGCGATGTTGGGCAGCCTCGTCAGAAACATTGACTGCCTGTAAAACATTCACACAAAACTTTAACACAACATTACATTTCATTTACACACACTTTAGCGACAAAACTTTCAATAAATGATGTCACAGAAGAGGCTAAACTTGGCTAATCATTGTGACTAGCTCCCAATAAGCAGTCTGTCCTTAGTTTACATTTCAGAATGTTTAAATAAGAAAGAAAAACAACAATAACCAGAGTAGAACTATACGATCAACAAAAGGTATCCGAAACAAATCACCCCCATTCTCCTTCCACACCAACCCAGAACACAACAGCTGGACTAAATACCTTAAACACAGGCAGGTGTGGATGCCGGAAGTGAATAATTGTGGTGTAAACAAATGATGATTTAATAGAAACAATAAACAATGGCCAAAAAGCATTTTGGCTCCTACACACACACTTTTAAAACTTTAAATTTGTGATATTTTTACTGTACCTTGATGTAGTCTTTTGTGAATTTATATTTTGTGTAAATATTGTCTTTATTTCTTATAATAGTCTTTAAATTGTTTTTATAATAGAACAATTTTGTTGCTTTTCTACAACCCATTCCTCTTTCTGTGTCTTTGTTTGCACCGTTCATACTAATGCAAATTCCTCGTATGTGTAAACCTAATTGGCAATAAACCAGATTCTGGTTCTGATTCTGATATTTCTTATGCCAGTGTCCATAACAGATCTAGAAAGTGGTTGCATTTAAAAAAAAATCACAAAGCAGTGTTAATACAGTGGGGCAAACAAGTATTTAGTCAGCCACCAATAGTGCAAGTTCTCCCACTTAAAAAGATGAGAGAGGCCTGTACTTTTCATCCTAGGTACACTTCAACTATGAGAGACAGAATGGGGGGAAAGAATCCAGGAAATCACATTGTAGGATTTTTAATGAATTAATTGGTAAATTCCTCTGTAAAATAAGTATTTGGTCACCTACAAACAAACTAGATTTCTGGCTCTCACAGACCTGTAACTTCTTCTTTAAGAGCCTCCTCTGTCCTCCACTCGTTAACTGTATTAATGGCACTTGTTTGAACTCGTTATCAGTATAAAAGACACCTGTCCACAACCTCAAACAGTCACACTCCAAACTCCACTATGGCCAAGACCAAAGAGCTGTCAAAGGACACCAGAAACAAAATTGTAGACCTGCACCAGGCTGAGAAGACTGAATCTGCAATAGGTAAGCAGCTTGGTGTGAAGAAATCAACTGTGGGAGCAACTATTAGAAAATGGAAGACATACAAGACCACTGATAATCTCCCTCGATCTGGGGCTAGATCTCACCCCGTGGGGTCAAAATGATCACAAGAACGGTGAGCAAAAATCCCAGAACCACACAGGGGGACCTAGTCAATGACCTGCAGAGAGCTGGGACCAAAGTAACAAAGGCTACCATCAGTAACACACTACGCCGCCAGGGACTCAAATCCTGCAGTGCCAGACGTGTCCCCCTGCTTAAGCCAGTACATGTCCAGGCCCGTCTGAAGTTTGCTAGAGAGCATTTAGATGATCCAGAAGAGGATTGGGAGAATGTCATATGGTCAGATGAAACCAAAATAGAACTTTTTGGTAAAAACTCAACTAGACGTGTTTGGAGGAGAAAGAATGCTGAGTTGCATCCAAAGAACACCAAACCTACTGTGAAACATGGGGGTGGAAACATCATGCTTTGGGGCTGTTTTTCTGCAAAGGGACCAGGACGACTGATCCGTGTAAAGGAAAGAATGAATGGGGCCATGTATCGTGAGATTTTGAGTGACAACCTCCTTCCATCAGCAAGGGCATTGAAGATGAAACGTGGCTGGGTCTTTCAGCATGACAATGATCCCAAAGACACCGCCCGGGCAACGAAGGAGTGGCTTCGTAAGAAGCATTTCAAGGTCCTGGAGTGGCCTAGCCAGTCTCCAGATCTCAACCCCATAGAACATTTTTGGAGGGAGTTGAAAGTCTGTGTTGCCCAGCGACAGCCCCAAAACATCACTGCTCTAGAGGAGATCTGCATGGAGGAATGGGCCAAAATACCAGCAAGAGTGTGTGAAAACCTTGTGAAGACTTACAGAAAACGTTTGACCTCTGTCATTGCCAACAAAGGGTATATAACAAAGTATTGAGATGAACTTTTGTTATTGACCAAATACTTATTTTCCACCATAATTTGCAAATAAATTCTTTAAAAATCAGACAATGTGATTTTCTGGATTCTTTTCCCCTATTATGTCTCTCATAGTTGAGGTATACCTAGGATGAAAATTACAGGCCTCTCATCTTTTTAATTGGGAGAACTTGCACAATTGGTGGCTGACTAAATACTTTTTTGCCCCACTGTATATGAAGATAATCCTGCTGATAATGCATAGGTATCATAAATGTGTGTTTGCCCCAGAGATTATTTTGTGCAATATTCCAAAATCCAATGGAAAAAGCCGTTGATGTAACTTCTGGGTCGGCCTACGGAAGACGTCAACACTGCACCACTGTATTAGGCATGGAGACATTCACAGACAGCTGAATGTCTGATCTATGCACAGCCTTCCCTCAGGATGTATTTAAAACTACGCTTTCTGATGTCCAAAACAACAAACACTGAACCAACTCTCACTGACTTCGCATCTCAAGAGATTTAGGAACAAGACTTCACAAAGAGCGAGACACAGTTATTCCTTGTCAAACACTAAAATAACCATCTGATCCTGTCAGTAACAAAAACACGCATTTCTATTGGATGGAGATTGACAGGGCGCAATTCCCAGAGCGATGCATTACAGCAGTTCACTGTCTGCAGTGTCCAGCCTGTCTCTGTGCTCACTTCTCTTAACCGGATGCTTTCTCAGTGTTTGACTTACAGCTAAGGAAACTACAAAAACTCATTTGTCTTTTAAAATAATAAAAGTCTGCTTTCAACAAACGCAAGCCCTCCTGTCTCCTCAGCAGCCAAAGAAGGAACAAGTGGGGATGAGCAGCGTGAGCCTGCAGCTTGTTTTTAAATCTATCTCAGCGCATTAGGAGAGTATTCCTTTCCAACTAGTTAGTCATTGCTGGAACAGTGGAGACTAGTGTGACTTTTTCTATAGTTTTAGCAAAATAAATAATGTCTTTCCTCAACATTACATATTTTGCAACTATAGATGATTTCAAAGTGAAAAAACATTTAGATTTTGGGTCAGTATACATTCAGACAGCTGACGGCGATCTGCACTTTCTAGTTATTGCTGTACTTTCTCATGTCTACCCTTACATCTGAACTTCTGGATCCTGTGTATAAGGCCTGTGATTGGATGACTGTGTTACCTGTGGCTGGGCCAGTTTGTTCCACATCTGGTCAAAGTAGCGCCGCATGCGCTCTCTCTCTTTCTCCCCCTCCTCCCTCTCCCTCTCCAGCTCTTCATTCTTCCTCTTCAGATCTCTCATCCCTTCCTCCAGTTTCTCTTTGTGGCTCTTCAGCAACTGGAGGAAATCGTTTGAACCTTCCACAGGCTGCGGAGAGAGACAGGAAGTGAATGAACGGGGGATGAAAGGGTGCAGGGAGATAGGGGAGGTAACAGGAGGGAATGGACAGAGACAGAACTCTTTCCCCTGGGCAGCAAGAGTCACACCAAGCACAATGTGGAACTACACCAAGATGTGAGAGAACACAAAGTGAGGAGACAGAGAGGGATTTAAAAGAGGAATCACTCGTTTGATTAGATTTAAAGTGGAGGCATTTCTGGAGTCCGACTAGCATTCAATCAGATGCTCCTGCTTGGAAATATAAGTAAAATACATTGCGACCTACAGATCTATATTGTCCAGTGACTTTGATAAAAGATGCATGGGGCATCAGGTTCTGTATTTTAGGTCATTTGTCTGTCTAAAAGCATAAAAACAAAGGTGAGGTGAAGCATTAAACTTGGGGTGAGGGCCAAAGATTAGGTGTCAGGCATCGGATTGGGGGGATGGGGAGGGGATGCAGTGAGCATGCTCACCTGGCCATCTTTCATGCCCACTTTCTCCCCCCATACCTCTGAAAGGGAGGAGGAGGGAGAGGGGAGGGCGCTACTCAAGGAGCTATGCACACTCGCATCGCCCTAGACACACATGGACATACTCGTTAGATGAAGATACACAAACTCAATCAAAACTCCATCAAACAACAGTCAGAACTCCTACCAGGCTGCGAGGCGGCATGGTCTGTGTGTTCTGATCTGTCTCTTCCACTCGCTTCTTCTCCCGCTGATCAAGTGTCTGAAACAAGCAGTGGAGTAATGTAGTGAAGTACAAGTATTGTACTTTTTGAGGCACTTGTATTTTACTTTAATTGAGTATTTTTATGTTATGCTACTTAATACTTCTACTCCACTACAATTTGGAAGCCAATATTTTACGTTTTACTCAGACAAAATGTGTTACTAGTTATTTTATAGATTCAGGTTATTAGCTATTACAAAATGTAAATTAACAAATAATTAAACTATGATATATAAGTATAGGTATGAGTACTTCTTCCACCATTGAAAACAATAGGTGCTTTCACACTGGAGTACTTTTCCCTTTTAGTTCCGATAGTTCCTGGGATTTTGCGTTCACACCAGGGGCGGCGGGTGCTGTAGGCTAGGGTAGGCTAAGCCTTCCCAAATATTTTTGTCACATCCTGGTCAAACTAAAATATAATGTATAATGTTTGTGTCTTTGACATTAGCGCTGCTATGCAGCCACCTGTGCCCTGTACCACGAAGCCAGTTCAACAGACCCTGGATATGCTTGAGTTATCTTAACTAACCCTAACAAACGAGATCTCGCTAAACGGTCCTACGGCGCTGGTTATCAACTCGGTAAATCAAGCCAGGGTTTCTCTCTCCAGCTGAGAACACGTTCACGTGAAAGGGGCGGGGTTAGCTACATTTGACCAATCACAAACAGGGACAAGTGTACTGACAGCGCAGTGTCATACTTCATTAATGAAAAGTAAACTAATATTAGACAAATATGAACTTTAAACATCCATGATGACTTAAACATATAATCCAGGATACAAGCCACATAGTTGCATCTGCAAGTAGAATACAGAACAACTGGTTAAAAAATAAATAAACTACCGAGTGTTTGAAAGCGTACAACAGGTTTATGATATCACTCCCCCATCTAAGACACGAGGGGATCTGACTTTAATTACATTTGACTCGAGTGTTTCGTCAACCTAATGTGTTGCTTAAAATAATACTTCTGCATACAGTATATGTGACACTGTGAGTGTTGCACGGCCAGATACGGCTCAGCTGACTCAGATAAGGACATATATGATATATTATGATATTATATAATCGATGATCTGATTGATGATGTGATGTCAGTGTGATATGAATGATAAGTGCGACACGTCGGCGTCTTCTCTGCATACGGCAGTTTAAACTGCATTTCCTTTTTCCTGTAATATGACTTGATAGATTTCAACTCTGCACACTGAGCTCTGATCGGTCAGCAGGCGGTGCTTTCACTGAGTTGATCTCTTTTCTATAGACGCCGGAGGCGGGCAGCGTCAGGTAAAAAAAGTTTTTTAGCCTTCCCAAACCTGAGCCTCACGCGCCGCCTTTGGTTCACACCAAAAAGAGAACTTAGTTCATGAGAACTTTTCCCACCTTTTCAGTCCCTGCTAGAGAGAAGGTACTTTCCTGGGGAGAAAAAAGTTCCAATTTCTGTTTGGCACGGCTAATTGCAAACCACGCCACTTCAAACATTAAAAGTGGCATCAATATGTTGAGATTATCTATCTGAACAAAACATGTAAGTGTCATAAATGTTTGTCTGTCCACAGATCTAATGCTTCTTAGTTGAAAACAAAAAATAAGATCCCTGTGTCACAAGCGTTCTCTGTTAAATCTGGTCACAATAAAAGGCCAGATCTAAAATGTGTAGTTTTATCACACAGCACAATGCCACGGATGTCTCGAGTTTTGAGGGAGCGTGCAATTGGCATGCTGACAGCAGGAATGTCCACCAGAGCTGTTGCCCGCGAATTGAATGTTCATCTCTCTACCATAAGCCGTCTCCAAAGGCGTTTCAGAGAATTTGGCAGCACATCCAACCGGCCTCACACATTTGTCTGCAGACTTGTCAAAGCATTAATTCATGGTTTTTACTAACCGGTATCAGTATGTAGTTACTTCGGCATCATTTTGAAACGTGTATTACAATTCAATCACGGTAAAATATTGGCATCTACCATAGTATTTGCATGGATATAAGCCCCACCCCCTCTCCAGCGAGTCCTCCTGTTTGAATGATAGGAGTAAACACAGCTGACAGCCGCGGTGAAACTCCAGCGATTAGAGTGATGCGAATATTTCGGGGCTTATCTTCATGTAAATATTATGGTAGATACCAACTACAACAAAATTAACATATTTGACCGTGATTTAATTGTAATACACGTCTCAAAATGATGCCGAAGTAACAACCTACTGATAACGGTTAGTAGAAACCATGAATTAATGCTGTGACAAGTCTGCAGACAGACGGCAGGCGAAAAACCTTTTAAAATGCGTGTTGTCTAAATGGATCCATCAGGCTAAACTAACCTGTAGCTGCTCCGTCCACACTCACAACAACGTCATACAGACATAAATAAACCAAGGACTGTATTCTCCATGACACAGACAGTCTGTGGTTTGTACTTGTTTAACTTTTGTCTAGTTTCTCAACAGATATGAGGAGCTGTGAGCTCTGAGTGCTAACTGCTAACGGCTGATGTTTTGGGACATGTTGATGTGGTGATGGGTTGACAGCATGTTGAGGATAACATCATATGTATATCCGCTGTTAAAAGATTCCCTTAAGATTTCCGTCTCTTCTTCCATTCTTTCCAACTCAGTTTATAATTTGTCCAGAAACAGCTGAATAGTACCAAACAGGAAATAAGTGGCGCTGTCGGGTGCTGACCAATCACGAAGCGCCATTTCTTGACTGGCAGCAAAAACAACCAATCACAGCAGTGCTTCTCTGGCTGGCTCTGTCCAATCACAAACAAGAAGTGTTCTCCCTAAAGGAATACCCTTTCCGTAAAAGTTGACATTTTGAAGTGTTTTGTGAAATGCTGTAGTGTTTTGTGAAATGTTGTTTTGACTTCAGGGCCACCGTACTTTTGTGTACATAAAAAAAGTTTAACACATTCCAACAAATGATTATAAAGATAACAATAACAATGGAAGCTGTGTAACAATGACACTTGTTTGCTCAGATGTAATGGAATAATCAATCAAGTATGAATATGAGGAAACAGAATCTCTGAGCCTACCTGCGGTCCGTCCAGCGGCCTGCTCCGGACCTGGCGCGCCTGCAGCTCCTCGGTCTGGCTGGAGCTGCAGCAGTGGGTGGAGGAGGGGGCCGACCCGTTCACCAGACTCTGCAGGGAGTGGTTCTCCTGGGCCAGCCTCTCCACAAGGGCCCTGGCCTCCTGGAAACGACAGCTGAGAAACTCTCGCTCCCCTCTGGTCCTCTGCTGCCATCCCTCCATCTCCTCACAGCGCTGACGGAGGGCCAGGTTGCTGCGCTGCAGGGCCTCTGGAGGACAGCAGGGGGGAGGGGAAAGGAGAGATACAACGTTTCAACAAAAGCTATAAATCAAGTATGTTGGGGAAATAATTTCCAAGGCCCATAACTTTGACCCAGTGTATCAGCTCATACTGTCCTGACTGAGCACAGGCACCTGTAACCTTGGCTGCTGTGCTCTCAGTGTTTTGTCTCCCTGTTCCTGCCTGTTGGCGTCAGCTGATAGAGGTGTTATCATTCTATCTTGTTATGCACAATGTTGATTATTCTCTCTGAACTAAACACACGGGTCTGGGGTAGAATTCTTCAGAATTGACGTGGCAACTCTACCGTGAAGTCAGAACCTCTGACTCGTGACTTGTTTTGTGAATTCTCCGGCCGAAGCTCCTAAATAAACCATCAGTGTCCCCGTGTCTCTTTTGAGTGGGTGACTCCCACTGCATTGCTACACAGAAGTTTCCCCCACAAAGTACATAGTAATTATATAAATAAGAAAAGCAAATTATTAATAGATTTTTTTAAATTTCAAAACAAAGTTACAAACTACTACTCAAGAATTTCAGGAGTGCAGGGCAACAAATAAATAAAAGCATCCAACTAAAAAGGTACACAAATAATGGAATTTAAAAACGATTACACAATCTTATAATATTAATAGTAATAATAATAATTTTCTGGTGAAAGTACACTGATAAATAAATACAAACAAAACAAAAAGAATCATTTGCATCCACCCGTACACATTTGAATAGTGGAAATGCATCTACCTCTTAGCTGCTGGTTATCTCCCAGCAGCCTGGTCACCACCTCATTGGAGGCCAGCTCCGGGGGGACCCTGAGGGTCCCGCCAATCTCTTCTCCCGGCATGTCCCACTGCATCGGGCCATCAGGCTGTGGCTGCACCATCCCTGTAGAAAAACTACAGATTATTATATATTCATACACACCTCATTAGACCTTTGCTCGAATACCAATGCCTGTGTAGTGTTGAGGCCTCTGGAGTCTCTCTGTCTGTGTGCTTTCCCTTTACACGATTAGACTAGATTGACTTTATTGATCCCGATTTGGGATATGTTTCCATCACAGCAGCATGTGAACAAGGCATTGCACATAATGTGAAAATGAAAAAGAGTAGATAATAAACAAACATAAACATATAATATGAACATCTCAAAATAAAAATAAAACAGAACTAAAAAGTAAAACGTATACATAGTATTGAAAGTGAAAGATACAAATCTGTAGATTATCTCTCTAACACCACGAACGGCCAATTAAAGCTAAGAATAAATAAAAGTAGGATGTTACTCACATTAAGTATGCAAGGAATAGCATATTAAATTAAATATAAATGTAAAAGGTTCTGTGAATGTTTTATAATTGATTAACCCAACTGTTTCCCATAACAACCAGTAGTTGTAGTGTTATGCTTAACCTGACCCCTACCCAGAGGTGGGAGATGTACTCAGATCTGCATTATGTAGAAGTAGACATACCAAATTGTTTACAAGTAAAGGTCCTGTATTAAAAATGTTACTCAAGTAAAAGTACAACAGTTTTGACATCTAAATATACTTACAGTAGGAAAAGTAAAAGTAGTCATTGTGCAGATTGGTCCATTTCAGAATAATATATGTTTTATAATTGTTGATCATTAAAGTGTTCTCAAATCTGGTAAAGGTGGAACTGATTTCAACTAATGTGAATTGAATCCAGGTGTATCTAAAGTATTTATTTAAGTGTTGATCCTATTGTTTATCATTAATCTATATAACTAAAGCTATTCAATGTATTTAGTGGAGTAAAAGTGCACGATTTATCTCATATTGTATTAAACATAATATCTGCTACCCTGAATCACCCCCCACCCGCAGAGAGGGAGGGAACACATGGTGACACGCCACGCCTCACCGTCCGGCGGCATGCTGCAGTTACTTTCTCTTTCAATACCAGCCCTCTCCCAAATCCCTTATGTCTGAGTGGTGGTGGTCCCATCAGGCCGTTCACAGGCTAAGGTATAAAGGCTCGCTCCTGTAGTTTGTCTCTTCCTGCTTTGTGCAGTATAACCTACATACAGGTATCAGTGAGGAGGACAAAAACATTACGTCATACTAATACCATGAGGCAAGAGGTCGACTGAAACACATAGCTTATTTTATATATTTGATTAATTAGCCTAAATAAAACCACCATCAACCTCAACTGCTGACACGACCAGAATCACATTTATATTAGCTTACAATGAGAGCTATAATAAACAATGTTGTTTTATCCCCCGCATTAAGACAGGTCATAAATGTGTCAGTAACTGTTGTCCTGTGCTCTTACCCTCTCTTCTTGTTCAGGGTGTGTGTCCGGGTACCAGGTCAGCAAGCTGTTACTCACATTCAGCCTGTTTGTGAGCGGATCTGTTCAGCCACCGCTGGAAAGCTGGCTGATGCTACAAAGCTAGCGATGCTGCTAATGAGCTAGCTAGGATATTGTAGCAGCCAGAAGCTTCAATGTCTGAGGCAATTGATGACTGGCATAAACAACAAGCTACTTCACCGTAGTGTGTGTCTTCAGAAAGGCATTCTCCCAAGTTGTGTGATGTTATCCTAACACAATGTAGGTGTTTAAGGTCTGTTGAGGTTATCTGTCAAAGCCAGAACGAGTGTTGTTAGCTCAGGAAATACTAATGGTTTATTTACCCCGAGTCCAGCCTCTCAGGCACATTTCCTCTCGACTATGCGTTGGGTTAATAACATAAACTGTATTATTATTGATAACATCATATATTTTGTAGTCACTTAACAGTACAATGTGTCAAATAAACTATTCTTCAAAGGTACAAATATCTGTACATTTTACATTATATGCACAACACATGTTGACATCACGGGTACACACACAAAGTAAAAACAACCAAACTAAACGAAGTACAAATGATAAGAATATAACAATCAAAAATAAAATATTTAACAAATACCATTTTTTTTTTTATTGCCTTATTTTCTTTAACAAATCAAATAATAATGGTGTCATATTGCTGTAATTCCAAGTAAACATGTGGGAAATGTAGTCTTCTTGGGAATTTGAAATGTCCCCCAAAAAATGTATTGCATAAAAAAACATTTCTGTATCCAAAATCATGAATTACATTGACTAAAACCTTGCTGCCCCATCCCACTGAAACTAATCATCTCCCCGAACACATCCGAGACTTCATCAAGGAGCTGACAAAGGCTACTCATCTCTCTTGTTATTTTTCTTATTTTTAGTAGTTTGAAAGCCTTTTCTTAAAACTATGACTGCTGTCACAGCTGCTTGTTCATTAAAATGATCTGTGTATTACAAAAATAAAATGTACTTGTTCCGTTCCGTTGGCAGGTCTGGTCTCGGGGTTATACAACTTGGAATTGAGTGCTGCCTGAGAAGCACTCTAGAGGGCAAAATGAGCACACGGCTCAGGAAATCCCCTTCCTTCTTCCGCAGTGGGAGATGACGTCAGTTGCTGCACCATCATAGCTTCTTGTGCTGATGTGCGTGAAGTGAATAAGCTACATGATGCTCGCTACCCCTGCTGCTGGAGTGGTTTTAATATTAGCTTGGATTTATCCAAGTCACGCTCTTTATTTCCACATAGGAGAGACGGAGAAGAAATGTTTCATAGAAGAAATTCCAGACGAAACAATGGTTATTGGTAAGCTGCTGGGGGCTCGTTAGCTTGACGTGATGCTAGCTAAAGCTAACGCGAACAGCTGGCTCCATCAAAGATGCTTCATTGAAAATGACTGTTGTATCGACCAAAGGTTTTTTTATTTAGTATTTTGTCACAAAAATGACAGTGTAGATTTTGTAAGATTGTGTAAGATGTTGTGGCCTCATAAGTTCTTCTTCGCTTAAAATATCTGGACCAGCCTTAGCTTTAGTTACATCAGAGTTTATATTTCAAATATAAACTAATATTTGCCAGAAGGCACTCGTTTACTTATCACTGACGGATACAGGGTTACTGATAAATAAGAAAAGGGCACCTGCTTGAAGAGAACCCTGATGTATTTATGGTGATCCAAACCCTAGCTAGGAAAGTAGGCTTTTACATTACTAAAAGTAACACTCGCTATAAACAGTGTGACAATTTTGATATTTCTTTGGAAATGTTCTGGCTCTGTTGCATTATGTTGAATTCCCCCATTTACCATGTTAAAGTTATATCCTGCTGTGTACTGGTGCAAAGTGGTCATACTGGATGAGCTGAGCAGTGTGTGTGTTGCTCTACCGGTCTGACAGGAAAGTACAGGACTCAGCTGTGGGACAAGCTGACAGATTCCTTCCTGGCAGCCACGCCCGGCCTGGGGATGCATGTGGAGATCAAGGATCCAGATACTAAGGTAAGCAAAGAGGAGGCGGTGTAATGAGACACTCCCACATACACATACTTCCATTACAATATAATCATTTATTTGACAATTCTCCCAGATCATCCTCTCTCGACAATACGGCTCAGACGGCCGGTTCACCTTCACCTCACACACTCCCGGAGAACATCAGATCTGTTTGCACTCCAACTCCACCAAGATGGCTCTGTTTGCAGGAGGAAAACTGGTATGAGCGCAGTCACTTTATAACCGTTTTAATAATGTACTTCTCACAAATGGTACAACATTACTTTCATGGGGAATAAGATCCTGCATGTTAACTTGTACAAACTTTCAAAAACTGGGCTTAATACATCATTCTGTTTCATAAGGGAGATTGCAAAAAGTCTGGGCCCTGATGTTATCGCGCTCGTTAAACCATCCAGACTAACCAGGTCCTGGTCAGACCAGGTGTTAGGCTTTATTTAACCTCAGATTACAATCGACCTCACAGACTCCCTCCTGCTGCACTGTGGACATTTGAAACACATTTATATTTGATTGGTCTGCATTAAATGCACTGCAAAAAAATAAAGCCTACAAAAACATTTACATGGTGCTGATCTCTAATAGAAAGTAGCATTTTCCTATTTATTTAATATTCCTGCACTCCCCACATGTGTTTCCAGTTATTCTGGCTCATTAGCAGTAAGACTGACAGGGCGCTATTTGTTCCGCCCAACTAGGTGCAACAAAGCTAACAGGAGTGAGGGAGCTGTCAATCAAGCACAGGATGGGTACGCCCACAAGAGTCAGAGTGCAAATACAAACCAAAAAGCAACATTTACCTGATAGAGAAATGTTTTAAGGGCTTCTGTTTTGATACGTTGACTAAATTGTTGTTTACGGCTTAGTTGACGTAGATGTCTTCAGTCGATTTATAATTTAAAAAAAATGCTTTTTAATACTTAATAACTTATTTGCAAGAAACCTATGAATACACCCCTGATATACACAACAATTACAGTGCTATTCATCTGTCAACTAGGTGGTTAGTCATAAAAAAAAATCGTATCAGTGTTAGTTAAATACATACAAACCATGAGAACAAGTTATGTTATATGTGTTATCAGTAAATCCAGAGATATAAACAGGTAACACCAATACTTAAACTCAGCGTTCTGGATATTAAAAGTCGTACTTTCTGCAGAAAAGGTGAATACAATACCAACATGTGTGCATGGTCCACCAGTGCAGATCCAGCAGACTCCTGGAGTGGAGTGCACCAGCTGGGCGTAAAAAAGTAGGGCTTAACTCTAACGTCGGGCTTCCGACGTAGTGATTCGAATTTACACCGAGTGCACCAAGCCTGACTAGTCTCGGGCGTAGCTGCGCCTGGTCTTCTGATGCGCGTCCACGTGAATACACGCGAAACAGTAATTGTTGCCAAGCAACGCCATTTTACCATTTTACAGACTCAGAGGACCGCAGAGAAGAGGGAATTCCCACACCCACAGCGTCAGCGATGACTCAAGGGGAATCCCAAATGGCCACACCCCGAAAGAGAAAGAGGGATTTGTCAGAGCTACAGCGGGAACTGACGGAGAAAGAAATCGTTCGTGTGGAGGTGGAGACCGTCAAATTGAGAGCGGAACACAAACAAATTCTGAATCTGAGCGCAATCAGCACCTGCAAGGTTGGGGAGAGCGCAGCGTTTCGATCTGATCCGTGCTGGAGTTGAGGGGAGATCTCCTCGATTAAATCAAAAAGGGCTTGTCTGCCGAAACGAAACCTCTCCATCAGTTCACTGTCTGAATAGATGTCCAGTGGGTTTGTTCGATCACGGACGACTCTTTCTCTTCTTAATGCCCTTTCATTGTTAAACATGTAAACAAGACGCCCTGCCATCGTTAATATCCTTCTTGCCTGTTTTACGTTACTATGGATACTAGTCTGTCTTTCCGATTTACGCCTGCTCCATACTAGGCGTAAAAGTTACACCCGGGCGCAACGCATACAGGGCTTAAGTCTAAGTGGTGCACTAGTCATAACTTTAGTTTGGTCTTAACCTTCGGTTCTACGTCGGACGTAGAGTTACGCCCAGCTTGTAGCTGGTGCACTCCACTCCAGGGTCCCAGTTCATTGTGATTTTTGTATAGCAGTTATTAAAATCCATACTGATTTTTCCCACAAAATCTCCAGGTCAGTGAGAAGCTAAAAGAGCAATAGTTAGACTTTTAAGCCACATGTGCTCAGGAATTTCCATTTAATCTTTAACTTTTGATTTATTGAGTTTCAATAGTTTCCTACTCATCCTCTTGTTTTGGTGTTGCCATTGTAAGCCTTTAATCATCAGTGATCTTGGAGGAGTTGTCTGAATCTTGAGTTATTTTGAGTTCTCATGATGCAAAATTCGTCTGATGATGAAACTTGAGTTTTTATATTTCTTATAATTCTCACGAAAACAAGTATGTCGATCTGAATGGTGTATTTCCTATGTTGCAGAGGGTGCATCTGGATATTCAGGTGGGAGAACACACCAACAACTACCCTGAGATCGCAGCGAAGGACAAACTGACGGAGCTGCAGCTGAGAGCCCGACAGCTGCTGGACCAGGTGGAGCAGATCCAAAAGGAGCAAAACTACCAGAGGGTCAGTAAAAAAATACTCAGAGTAATGGGATCTACCAGGTTGATGAGGTCAAGAGTGGTACAGAAACTTGGAAATGACTTAGCATTCTACCACTGTCAAGTCAGCTGTTCTATAATATACACTCACTGGCCACTTTATTAGGTACACAACTTCACTAAGTACACAATATATATATATATATATAATATTTATGTTTTTGGTTTGACGCTCAAAATAAGATCTGTGGTTGTTATATTCTACAACATAAAATCTCCCACTGGTGAGTATCTGAAGCGTCGTCGGTTGCTAACAAGTGTTCGAGATACTAAATGAGACTACTGAACATCGTCACACAAACATTAGCAGCTTTTAGCTTAGCGTTGTTGACGTGGAGTCATGTGACCATGATGTAGTTCCTTCATAGCTTAACGTTAGCTTTTTACTTCTGGCGAGCGCATTTAAGCTTAAAAAATCATACAAGTTGTGAAAATATGTGGAGATAATCCTGTTGAACAAAACATGCTGGCATCATCATCATCATCATCATCATGTGTTTGTAACATCTTCATTTCTACAAAATTCTGAAATCCAATGGAAAGCTACTTTCAGTAGAGGGAACCCTCTACTGGTTCCGCCCACAATAATCCCTCTCATACTGTGTGTGGTGTCTCCTGCAGTATCGAGAGGAGCGCTTCCGCATGACCAGTGAGAGCACCAACCAGCGCGTCCTGTGGTGGTCCATCGCTCAGACCCTCATCCTCATCGTCACCGGCATCTGGCAGATGAAGCACCTCAAGAGCTTCTTTGAGGCCAAGAAGCTGGTCTGAGGTGTGTCTGCACCACGCGGCAGCTGGACAGACTCGAGCGGATGGAGGGACGCCCGCCCAGAAACATCCAGGAGGACACATGTTGTTAAGGGAGAGCTGTGGCTGTTAGAGGGGGGGGTTATATGGGGTACTTCTCCACAGTCAGTGCACAGTCTACAGGTGGATGATGCCCCCAGTTAGGAGAAACACACTGGAGTAACTGCACAGAAACAAAGCAATATAGTGCTGGGGAGTCATGTATTCCAGCTGGGGAGTCATGTGTTGTGCAAAGTTAAATGACTGTTTCTGTCAATTGAGTCTGGTAGCATTAGCTAGGACTGTAAGGTCAATTGATGAAAATATAAAACATTTAGCATTTAAAAGAGATGTGTGCTAAGGAGGCTGCCCCTATCCACAGCAGTACATTAGCGTCCTGATGCTGCTCACGTCTGTTTCTCCAAACTGAAGCTAAGACACTGACTGGATATGCACCTCATACAGCCCCCCCTCAAAACATCCTCACTATGCCTTTAATATCAGCCATAAATGCTACGAGCAAACTCACAAAGCAGTTATATATCCTGGGGACTGTGTTGTTATTATTCATTTTTTGGCTATTGTTATTTTTGACACAGAAGCGTCATTTTTCTTTGTTATGTTTATGAGGTCTTACAGGAGTGAGAGACCACAGTGGATATGTAACAATGAAAATGTTTAAGCTGTTGCAAACAAGTTTATTGATATTTTATTTTATGTAGCCCGTTTTCTGTCAATATTGCCTATATTTCTATTTCCATGTTTGATAACGTTCTAACCACAGGCTTTCAGCTGGATTCATTAGGTCGCTGGTAATAATAATATTTCACTGGCCATAATTCCTCACGTGTTAATTTGATATTTATATAACTCTTTTTTAGCATGCATACACAGTATATAAACCCCTGATAAATGGCTTCCAACACACAGTAACACAGCAGCGTTTAGGACGTGTTAATTCATGTTTAAGAAAGCAATCCTGACTGGTGAGTAAACTGAGTTCATCATTAATGAAATATAAATTATTATTAATATTAAAAAAACGTTAATTTATAGTAAAAAAAAACTCACTTGTAAAGCAGATATATACAAATAATACAGTTAATATTTATAAATAAATAATTTTTAGAAATCCCTGGTTTCATATTATGTTTGTTTATATACCAGTGGAGAGTTTCTAATCTGGACATTAATAAACTCTGACAACTCCTTAATATCTGCTTACCTCCAAATAGCCTATATTGTTTATGAATGTGAAATGGAGGGTCAAATTAACACTCCCTGACTGTATATAGTTTTGTTGTCCCTGGAGTTCAGTCTCCTGCACATTGAGCAGGTGTGTAGATAGTTTGTGATACTTGTCTCTTAACAGGATTGACTGTTTGTTGTAAATAACAGCTATTGACCGTCCTGTTGATTTTCTAAAGCCTTTTACACTGATTGAATGTCTTTCCAGTTTGTGTTTCTTCAGTATTTATTGAGCAGTTGTAGCCTGTGTTTCAGAGCTGAGCTTAAGCCAAATGTACTTCTATGTTCTTTCTTTTCTTTTTTACATGCAAAGACTAGATAAGAGTGAAATTCACAAGACGAATTTCGGCCATTAAATTATTTTGTTTATTTATCACTCTTGAAATATTCTTATTTCCCCTGTGGTCACCTCCATGACTTAATAAAGACAATTTGGCCAAACAACTTTCTGTGTTTGATTTTATTAGAGCCACTTTGCCAAATACAAGAAAAATGGCAGAAACGTTCAGCAAAAACATTTATTGCTCATCTTTGACCTCCCAAACAACGCCTCATTAAGACAGCAACCACACGTGAATCATCTTTTAGTTTGATCACTGACAGTAAAAGCACTTTTCATGGAGACAGGACAACACACTGACCTTGTGACAGAATCCACTGCGAATATAGCTGCAGTGTAAAATCCACTGAAAACAGGAACACCACTTTGCATAGATTCACTCGTTCATCTGCAATAACGCAAAAACACAAGACCTACACAAACAAAACTCTTTCTCCAGGTTCGCTCTCGTTCATATCAAGAATAGAGATCTGGAACACCATAAGAAACAATGTGAAACACACAATACTATGTGTCATTAATTATAAAGGGATAAATGATTTATTAAATCAAGTCTTTGTTTCATCTGTACAACAAAAACGGTACATTGTACTGTGTGGGACACACTCTTTCAGAAGTCACATGTTGGACTGGAAAGGTAAAATATCATGACACATTCAAACAAATCTTTACTCATCTTTTCCAGATGTCATCGTGTTTTCTACATTTGTGTCTTTGCCAGTTATCTTGAAGGACGGAAGTTAGAGCACTACAGGTTAGTAACACACAACTTTAAAAAAAAAAAAAAAAAAAAAAGAAGGTAGGCTACAACTAGTTCTTTACTGAATGTCGCTTTTTAATGCTTAAAAGGGTAACAAGGGCACACAAAAAAGTGAAGAGGATTAGGCAATTACACTGTTCAAATTATGCAACCATTTTTGCAATCCAGCTCCACATGGCTGAAATGATGTGCTCCACTGCTCTCCTCAGTGTGGTTCTCTCCTCCAGGACCTCAGAGCGGCTCCTCACGGGTTGGACACGGTCAGGTGCTGCATCTTCTTGGCCGACGCTCTTGGCGGTTTTCTCCGGGCTGGGGGCCGGAGGTTTGGTCGCACTGTTGGGATACTCCCTGTACCCCTAATGAGTGAGATAAGATAACTTAACGGCATTAATCACATTAACAATTAATCCAATAACAGCCATAACTAGGACCTCTCAAAGGCATCTGAACAACCCGGTATCACAGCAAGACGTGAAAATGTGACGATTTACCATGCTGGGAGACGTGAAGATGTCACGATTTCGTCCCCTTCAAACGTGACAGTTACACGGTATTGTTAACATAGCCCAACCAGTGGAGATATAGCCTACCCGGAAATGCCAAGAAAATGCTACCCCGACGGCAGAGTCCTGCATCGGGTCGGGTACCCACGGGTAGGCCTACAGCATTTTCAATAACACTTCCTCAAGAGCGAAATCCAACGTCTGTGAGGCTTTTGGTGTCATCCTAGAGGGAGAAAATAACCAACATCCCATGCTTTTTGAGACAAATATGCAACTGCGTGTGTTAATTGCACGTTTTCACTGCTCATATATATGCGGGTTCGGGTCGGGTTGCAGATCTTGTGCCGACGGGTCGGGTCGGGTTGCGGAAATAATTGGCAATATGTGCGGATAGCGGGGCGGGTTCGGTATTGCACGTTGCGGGGCGGGAGCGGGTCTTGAAAATCAGACCCGTGCAGGACTCTGCCCGACGGTCGGTTGTTATTGTCAATATTAATATAATAATGATTTATTTTTTAATAGTCACACTCGATTACGCCGATTTTCTTGTTGCCCCAGCGGGTCGACACCTCTTTTAGCAGAAACAAAGGCTACATTAATGTATTAAATCGATGTTAATCCATGTGTGTGGATGTGGAATTAACGGACGTGACGTTGTGCGATTGCGTTGCCAGGCAACAGCTTTGGTTCATGTTAATTTACAAACTCTTCAACTAGAACCGTAGTTATATTTAAAAACATTTTAGAAGGCATCACGAAATACTTTAATGTAAATTAAAATGTAAATGTGAAGGAATGTGTGTATAACAAAATACATCCATACAATACCGGAAACAGTCGTAGGCAAGATCCTCAGCTCGGTGATTCGATGGTTTAGCCGCAATACACGTTGGGAAATGGTGTTTATGCGATGTGAAATCCGAAAACATTTTTTTAAAATAAAATAATACTTTATTCCGAGTGTGCTTGCATTTCTCTTTCAAAGTCATCACATAACGGCATTGTAATACACGGTTCGGCTGCATTAAATATTACATATCTGCCGTAGTTCTCTATTTATAGAGCCCTGATGAGAAGACTTATAGACAAACAGGAAGAACTGCCGCCAACACTGAAAACGTGACGTGGATCATAAATATATCAGCAATTAAGCAACATCTTACATTTCTTTTCACACAATGCGTCTCCTTGCAGTATCAACACTAATTCGGCTGACTTTTATATTTGATCCAATTGGTAGATAGGCTGTATTTACACCATTATGGTGCACAACTGATATAAAGGGTTACACGTATTTCCAAGGCACACCGATCATTATAGTTATAAAAAATAAGAAAATCACAGATATGAAATAATTCCAACTCATACTATAGGACAGTAACACAAAAATACAGGTGTGATTTGCAAAATATCCATAAAGAAAAAGTAAATCTGTTAACAGTTCTGTTACATATGGGTGATGAGAGATGTATCCATAGATCTCCTAATGTTGCTCTCAAAGTGCAGCAGATTGATGCTTTTAACTTCAATATTTAAAAACAAATCTTCCCGGGGGAGCATGCCCCCGGACCCCCCCAGAGGAGGTGAGTTCCACCAGCCGCCCACACCCCCTGTCAAATTGTCCCACTCACATTGAGGATACTTCCTACACCCATGCTCTCTCTATTTCTCTCTATATATCTCTCTATCTCTCTCTCAATCTATCTCTCTATCTATAAGGAAATATCTATAAATATTACCCGCTGGCGGATATAGGTATAAATGGCAATTATTTTGGCGAATTTTTCAATCTGACTTCATATAGACAATTTTTAACAACAGAGGGTGCTACATAACACACTTTCGGGAAAAGTCACGGACTGGGAGACATTCATATTTTATTGAAAAAAAGTTACATACACTATATTTATAACCGAAAATAATCATACGGTTTAAAATCGTCAATGTAATGCACGTTAGAGGTTTTGTGTTTAACATGACGTTAGCTAACTCTACCAAAGGTTTTTTCCATTGTTATTTACCATAAGCAATTGTTGACTGTAACGTCTATGCCAACAAACTGTAATTTGTAATGTATTTTACTGTACTTTTAACGGTCAAGTTCTGGCAACCACAGCTGCCCGAATGTTAACGTACATTTTAAGTTTTTTTTTTTTTTTACAGTGTACTTATATCTGTACATTTGTTTGCTTCAAGAAGTGGCTTCAAAAGACAGAAATGCAGGCCACACAACGGAACAATTATGGACATAAACAAGAAAAGAAAAAAACACTTAGGGACATTTTTTTGTAATGTCTTTGTTGTATTTCTTATCATACATATTGTTACTGTTTTTGTTCCCATTTAAATATGTAATACTATTTTAAATCAAATGCACCTGTTTTAGATAATATATTTATTTTGATGTAGGTTCATTTGTAGGTTGGTTGTTTTTTGTATAAATATTATTGTATTGTTACTGTGTATTTTATTATATTAACTAGCTATTTATTGCTATTTATTACATTCAAATACTGTTATGACCACTATACAATGTTTCTATTGTGGTAATTACCAGAATACATGACACAATGAATCTTTGTAATATATTTATGTCCTCTGGTTTAAATAATCATACCAGTGTATATCATACCATATGTATGCGGGTCACCTGGGGGGTATACTACGAAGCGGGATTTTCGCTTAGCCGGCTAACTTCAGGGAAAACTCGGGGTCCTACGAAGCTGGTTCTCTTTTTAGTAGGCTAGATCTCCATGGTAACTTATGCTGTGCGGCTAACCTGGTCGGGACCAGGTTAGGTTGCAGGCTAAGAGCTCAACTCAGTGAAAGCACTGCCTGCTGACCAATCAGAGCTCAGTGTGCGGAGTTTAAAGTGATCAAGTCATATTACAGGAGAAAGGAAATACAGAAAAGCTGCCGTTGCAGGAAAGACGGCCGGCAAAAATCACCGACTGTGTGAACGTGAACATTATTAGAATATCACCTCCCATCTTCAGAGCAATCTGACTATTATAACATTAGCGTTAAGAAAGTTTACTTAAATATCTGCCACAACATAAGTAACCGGATCAAAGTAACATTACGTACAGTCCGCGGCATATCACTTCATAATGTATCATATATTTCCTTATCTGAGTCAGCTGAGCCGTATCTGGCCGTGCAACACTCACAGTGTCACATACTGTATGCAGAAGTATTATTTTAAGCAACAAATTAAGTTGACGAAACACTCGAGACAAATGTAATTAAAGTCAGATCGTGTCTTAGACGGGACAGTGATATCATAAACCTGTTAATGTACGCATTCAAACACTTTTTCTATTACCAGCTGTATTCACCTTGCAGGTGCAGCTATGTGGCTTTTATCCTGGATAAAGTGTTTAAGTCATGGATGTTTAAAGTTTAACGTCTTCATATTTGTCTAATTATATAGTTGACTTTTCATTCAGGAAGTATGACGCTGCGCTGTCAGTATGCTTCTCCATGTTTGTGATTGGTCGAATGCTCCAAATACCACCCCTTTCATGTGAACGTGCACCAACTAGATAGGACACGGCTGGCTTGAGCGATCCACTTGATAACCCGCGTCGTAGTACCGTTTAGCGACAGCGCGTATGTTTTGGATTAGGCCAACCGGCTAACTCAAACATATCCAGGTTACAGTAGGTTGAACCAGCTTCTTAGTACAGGCCTCAGGAATCCTGGTAAGCTTCCAGCATGGTATATTTAATACTATTATTAAACATAAACTGGTGATAGTTGGATGCTGGTGACCAGCATATACCAGCATACCAGCATACCAGCATACAATGCTGGTCACCAGCATTAGAGATGGGAGAGT